TCCATGAAAGTATCCATGTGCTAAGGGAAACCTGAGATACATAACACCCAGTAGCTCAATACCAGAGATTGACACCCAGTAAAACCTTAACAAGCTGCTTAATCAAGCGAACCATCAGCAAAGAAGTTGCGGTAATGAATCTAAGAACTTGACTACCGCACCAAGACCCTTCTTGGTATCAAGAAGAATCTTAGGATCAAGCTCCGGGGAAACTCTCCTCAACAGGTCTCGCTCTGCAGGGTGCAGAGGACACTCCTTGAGGACGTGCTCAACTGTTTTCAGCTGACCACACTCGCAATTATGTCCATTGCGAAGGTCCTACCACCCAACGTTTGTGACAGATCCGCTCCTAACCTAATTCACGCCAAATCTCACCTTATATAACAAAAGATAAAAAGTATTACCATAATTTCTAATAAAATAGACATAATTTTTTTTTTCCAACATTTGCAACGTTTTAACCCATTTTTAGTTAATTCTCCCATCTAATCTGACTAAATGTCACAATATTAATTTACAAGAACAAGCCTTGATGGCCAAGTTGGTAAGGCGCGTCACTAGTAATGACGAGATCGTCGGTTCGAATCCGGCTCGAGGCATTTCTTTTTTGTTATTTATTTTCACTTGATTATCTCTGCTGAGAGTGCCAAATTTATACATTTTAACAAGTACTTAGTATAAACAGTCCAGAGAGAACTAAAGGTACTAGATGCGGGTTGAATATTTCACTATATATATATATATATATCTTTTTGGTTTAATAGCTATTTGATATAAGAATAAAACTGATAATCTATCTATGCCACTAAAGATTGGATTCTAATTTGGTGTCATGCTTATGAGTCCATTCTTAATGTTTTTTTTTTGTTTTTTTTTTCAATGATAGTTTGCAAAAATATAAATAATGGAGGGGAATCACAAATGCACCCAGTTGAAAGTAGCCCAAAAGGATTCATCTTACTCCACACACGTAGCAAAAGAAGAAGTAGTTAACGCATTCCCTCGCGGCCTGTGCAAGTCGTGTATTACATCCGGTCACAGCCCGCGTGTCAACGGAATGCTCTCAACTTGCTTTGGATTGTTGTAGTAGCCCAAGTCGTCATCGTAAAAATCGTCACTGCTTTGGTCGGGGCTGCGCTGGTACTGCGTGGGCCCCTGGAACGAGCTGTTGTTGTTTCTATACTGGCTTCCTGGCTGAGGAGACTCACCACGCATCTGCATGCGCTGGTTGTGGCGGTAGTTGTACTGCTGCTGCAGCAGCTCGTTCTCGGTCGACGCTAGGTTTTGCGCCATCTCGTAAATCTCGCGGTTAATGGGAAACGACGTGCCGTCACGGCTCGACGCGGATCCGCCGCGTTCACGGAACGTCAGCGGCAGCGGCCACTGCCAGTAGCGCTCGCCCATGACCTGTCTGAGGTTCTCGCGCCAGCCCAGATCGAAAATGTTGCCAAGCGACTTGGACGAGGGCGCCTCGCGATAGCGAAAGGCCTCGGTGGGTAAGGAGGTTTTGTATCGGATGGTTTCGAGGTTCTCGAGTACTGTCTTGTTGCACAGCGAGAGATAGACGCTGTAGGATGCAAATACGCCCACGGCAAGGCCCATGACCGCAGAAACAATGAAAAGAGCGACCCAGTTGAGGGGCACAATGATGAATGACTTGGGGCGGTAAAGGCAGTCGTACACTGCATACGACGAGGCCAAGAAACACACAAAGCACAGCCCCGTCACGTAAATGAGAAAAAGTAAGAAAAACTTGTGGTTGCGATAGCCAATACACGTTGCGAACCAGGGACAGTGATGGTCCATACGCAGAATACAGCGGTGGCAAGTGCTGCAATGATGCGTGCGGTCTGGTTTCCAGCACTGGCACTTGTTGCAAAACCGCATTTTGCCATTTTCCTTGGCCGTGACGTTAAGGTCGACGTTGGGCGGCAGCTGGGCGTCAATGGGGTCAGACGCGCGAATGTGGAACCCAGGCAGGTCGATCGGTGACCCGCCGCCGACACGGACGGTTTGGAAATACGCTACCGTTGATAGCACGTAAAAGATGCCGGCAGTGGCAATGAATAAAAACCGGGGTACGCACGA